CATTCAAAGGGAGGAGAATATTATTGTTAATAATACAGAAAATTTGACAACTTTTTGGGTCAGTAAATGCCATTCAATACACAAATTGTTTATCGCTATCTCACTTAACAATCAGTCAATTATTGGGCTCTCTCTCTCTCTCTCTCTCTCTCCTTTCGGGGACACAATTCCTAATCAATTGCTTCATTTGACAGACAATTGTATTAACAGATATGATAGACATTGAGGACAAAACAAATGCTCATAAATGGATCGACAGTTCAATCAAACATCATATGATGGAGAGAGAGAGAGAGAGAGAGAGAGAGAGAGAGAGACTGGGAAAATGAGCTTAACGTTAAGTAAACCCCGAAAACAGACATAAAAAGTGGAAATAAAGAAATGAAGTGAAGAAATGGAGACAAATATGAAATAATAAAAGAGTGAATAAAAATACAACTTTCGATATAATATATTATGGACTAAAGATATTGATTGAGAGATCGCCGCAAATAGTAAGCAGTTATTTGAAATGGAGAGCAAAAAAAGTGACACAAAAACTAACACATAATACAAGAGAAGAAAAGAGAGAGAAATAGCAAAAACACAATGACATGAAATGATATTTTCAAACTCGACAGACATTAAGCCAAACAAATGCTTGATTTATAGCCACAGAAAAGAAAAAGTCATTTATAATTATAAATACTGTACAAAAAATAACTTAATCTATAATTGAAATCAATTTTTACGATTGTTTTAATGGACACAAAATGAGACAAACGATAAGCCGGTTGTTATAAGTGATAAACACATATGTCTTAATGGGTTGTTTGAAGCGATGGTTATAAAAAAAGTGATGAAACAATGAGAAAACATGACTGAATTGCATACCTGTCTTAGTTTAGACATCGCGTCGCTCGATATGAACTCATTTCGGAGCAAATGTGTGACAAAACAGTAGACTTTGTATTGGCTTTCGTTTAAGTCCTGTTCACCCAAACGGTAGATCCGGAAGATCTGCACCTCCTTTACAATAACACAAAGACATACAGAGTTTGAGACACAAAAAAATCAATCAATTTTCACATAACATTTGGAACCAAAAAAAGGCAAAATTAGATCCGAGAAGAAGATAATTAGTATAAAAACTCTAATCAATTGATAGATATATTCAATGGATTATAAATGAGATTATAATTGGGTTTCTTGTGTCCAATCAATCACAACCAGTGATCGGATCGAGTCTTTGAACCCAAACATCAGGAGAAGAAGAGGGGAGAGAGTGATAGAGATATACATAAGAGAAACAAATCAATTGATAATCCATTGAAAGACATAAATATCAGCGAAAACTACAAAATCAATAGCAATAAAGCGAAGCCTTAAATGAAAAACAAGTGATAAATTGAATACCGCTTTGAAATCAATAAATTGTGTGATAAGACTGGCGTCGGTCTCCAAGAAGTCCACTGTAATCACATCATCGGTGGTGTTGGCGGCGATCACCTCCTGATACACCTCTTGGCCGCCATTCATCACATTAATCACCAGATGGTCGTCCACTGCGGGCGCCGAAGAGTGGCCGTCATTGGCTGCGGGCGTGGCGTCGGAACCGGTGTCTGACACGTGCTCACAGACAACCGACAGCTGCCATACTGTCACCCATAGTGTCAGCCATAGTATCGTTAACGTGGATCCGATGGATGTCCTACACGTGCCGTTCGGTGGACACCAAGACATCGCCTGTCAAGTGGTGTCAACAATGTCTTCACGTGTCAGTAGTTCCCGATCTTTGTCTGTCTATCCATTCGTTAAGACACTATCCGTTGTTGTTGTTGTCGGTTAAGACCACGTGTTGTCACATACTGTCACCGATGGATGCGATGAACGATTGCTGAAGACATGTGTGAATGTGTTATAAAAATATAAATAAAAATAATTTTTTGTTTTGAGTAAAAAAAATAAATAAAAACTGTAAACAAAACTAATGGCAAAACATAGCGTTGTGTTTGACTTTCGCTGCCATTCAATGGCTTTTCAATGCAATGTGTGTTTCACTCAACCATTTATAGCACACACTCTCTCTTCGCACACATAGACAACACATACAACACTACTATAGCTGTCTATGGCTACAGGTTTTGCTCTGTAATAGCAATATATTATTATTTTTTGGTTTTTTGCACAATTTCTTATTGATTATATCATTAATGATTTAATTATTTATAATTTCAATGTTTAACTGTTATTAATTTGCCGTTTGTTTAGTTGTAAAGCCGTATAGAAATGGTTTACAATATGTGAACTTAACTGCTGTTTAAAGCCCTGCACTGAATGCCTGGGATATTGTGTGCTATGTTTTTAATGCCTTTGCGTTTACGTTAAGTTTGTATTACACAAAAAAAATTAATTTTGTACCAAACGATTCATTCATTTATATTATGGATATTTTACGGCAAATAAACAGAATATTCTGTAATGACGTTCACGAATATAATTGAAATATAAATATTAGTTTAAAGTTTAAACTATCGTTTTTTTTGCTATGAAATGAAACATAAATTTTGATTATATTGCTTACAAGTATAGGAAATGTGCATAAAAACTATTTTTGAAGTTTCATTTTGAATACATTTTTGCCGAGTATTAATGTTTATTTAAATTATAGCATATGTTGTATAAGTTTTTTATTGTAAGCATAGGTTAAGTGAATTAGATTTTGATTATTTAATATGGCATTCAGTTTATGTCGAAATGTATATATATTTTATTTAAATTCTGTAGTTTTTCATTACATTTGAGATTATGTCTGCGTTTTTGCGATTATATTATTTGAATGCCGTCTCCATTGAGATAAATATATTAATATTAATATTAATTGAATTTTTGGGAAAAATAAATTTTCATGAATTTCACTGTTATATATTCAATGGTATTACCGGTATATTCAGTACATATATTGAGCAGAATATCTGATTAGTAGATACTATAAGGTAAGTGTAATATCGATTGGCACATCAGATAAGACTATTTGGTTTGAGATTTAATTATTTATTAGATTTTGAAGGATTACTACTTCTATTGTAAAAGAAAGAGTTGAATAATAAATGAATTGATTATAAATGGGATGTAAAAGAGTTTTGTGTGCAAAGAGGAGATTAGGGCTCAAAAGAAATTTACGCTTAAATTAAAAACAAATTCATTTCAAGCGATAATTCGTTAGAAGAAATGGAGTGTAAAAAGAGTGACAGAATATAATGTAATGATTGAAAAGCGAGATATGAATAATAAAAGTTTAAATATATTTTATTTCATATAAAACTGTTAGGCGTTTGGCAGAAGAAAAGTGGATGAAAAACGAAAAATATAATTGGAAATCGGAATTGAAGAGAGAGAGAGAGAGAGAGAGAGAGAGAGAGAGAACTCTGAGAGGATACCAGAAGAGAAGTTCACTCTCTTTCTGTGTGTTTGTGTCTCCACTACTACTGATGGGAGAGAGAGAGAGAGAGAGAGAGAGAGAGAGCGAAACAAATTATATGAATGACTTTTTTCGACTGAATCGACATAAAAGAGATGATAGAAAAAAGTTTGTTCAGTCTTTTGTATTTTCTTTCTCTCTTTTGCAAAACCATTAACTTTATAAGAAAAATGAAAAAATTTATATAATATTGTACTTACTTTTTGTGCGAGAATTACAGTGAAATTGATTCTCTGTTCACAATTTGTAGACAATATTATTTTTTTATGATTATTTCACTATTTCTATCTCAATAGAGAGAATTCTGTTTGAAATGATAGACAAAAAGTATATTACGAGCGAAAGACTGTTTACGAAATGTGTGCTCAAACTTATGGACACTTATAGATATTACGCCAACATTTATATTCACACAGAAAGTGAGATAAAAACTATTATTATAATGAGTTGTGAACAAAAAATAAATAATATTAATGCAAACAAAGTGTCTGTGAATGACTTCTCATACGAATTGAGACTTTATTTTACAGACAAATTGTTTGTGAAAGACAGTTGAACCACATTTCAATATACAAGACAATTGGCACTCATTCTCTCGCAGACAAACACACTCTCACTGTTTAACAAGAGAAACAATAAAACTCTTGAAATATATATAATGATTAAGTTTGCAACTAATGATAACTGCTTTATAGACAAAACAGACACACATAAGAGTGAGAGAGTTGTTGTTATATAAGAATTTCAAGAACTTTTAGCACAAGTGAATTGTTTGACAGAATATATATTTATTCTTTCACTCCTTATATGAGAGAATTCTTTTGGGTTAAAGTTGTTGTGTTTAGTACTAGTGTTTGGGTTATAAACTCTCTCTCCCATCAGTAGTAGTGGAGACACAAACACACAGAAAGAGAGTGAACTTCTCTTCTGGTATCCTCTCAGAGAGTGTATGGCATGTAGTCATTGGGTTCTCTCAACTCATCTCATGGTATATAAAACATACGATCAATAATTGTTTGCAGAACTACTAGTGATGTCTTTTAGTTAGTTTAGTAGTTTTGAGTGAGACATGAGTTCTGCGCATTCATATGGTCTCTCTCTCTCTCTCTCTCTCTCTCTCTCATTTATGCCCTGGGTATTATAAATCATTGGCACAACTAATAAATACACTGTAATTATGAAATATTTTTGTTTAGTTGTTAAAACAGATAACGAAAAATGTTTTTTAAATGTATCGATAATTTTATATGCATTTTATAGAGCGATAGTTATCGGACAAAAGGCTCACAAATATAGCCCATTTAATAAGCGATTTTTTAAACAGTGTAATTAATCAGTGGGTTTTTGTGGCTTCATTTAGAGACAAAAACGCTTTGTAAAACATGTGAACAGAATATAAGACTAGAATATAATGATAGGCTCTCTCTCTCTCTCTCTCTCTCTCTCCATCTCCGAGTCTCTCCATCAGCATCAATGTTACCCAAGTATTTTTGGGCCAACCGTTTGGTTCACTTCAATAGATTTATGTCCTTATTCTTAGACTGAGAAGAACTTTATTGTTCACTGTTTTGAAATCCATTTATTGATAACATTTTTATTTATATACAGTATAGCATATACTCTACTCTACTCTCTATATATGGTATTTCTTTTCTTTATAAAATAGAAAAAATAATAAAAAATATTCTTTAGAGTAAAGGATTGAGAAAAGGCTTTAGAAATAAAAATAAATATATATAAAGATAAGGCGTTGAAAATAAAACTCTAAAGAATTAATACCGACATGAATCATATAATGTGAAAATACATTATATATTGAAAACAAATATTTCATAGAGAGAGAGAGAGTATAGTATAGTATATGTTATACTGTATATAAATAAAAATGTTATCAATAAATGGATTTCAAAACAGTGAACAATAAAGTTCTTCTCAGTCTAAGAATAAGGACATAAATCTATTGAAGTGATCGCTGACTGAGAGAGAGAGAGAGAGAGAGAGAGAGAGCTGCAAAGTATTTCTCAAATATTTGATTAGCGAAAAATTTAATTCACTCAAAAATAATGCTAAAAAGATATACATTTTCAACAAAAAATAAAATAAAAGCCTTGTTGTCAACGCCTTTCCATAACTCTCATATCATATGATAACCGCTTCTTTTTGGCACTATTTTAACCGTTTTTCACATAAAATGTGTGGAAAATAGTATCAAAAAGAAAGTTGTGACAGAATTTTGGGATCAAATCTTTTTTGTAATGTTATGATTAATAGTATCACAACTTATGGCAATATTTTTAGGGTTTATAAGATTTTTTTGCTCATATCAGTGAATGGATGAAAAATAGAGTGAATATGTATTTCGGAAATTAAACCCATTTTTAGTCACTCATAGCTATGCAACGCCTTAAACGCCTCGTTATTTAATGTCAATGTAAATGACTTGTTATAAGTATTATTATTTTTTGTGCCTCTCGTCGTCGACAGGAAAAATATTTCTCATTTATTATAACAACTTATCTATAAATGCGAATATAAATTGAATAACATATGCGTTAAAAATATTGAATTTTTTTTGAAATGACATTCCTTTGCCCTCCAATTCAGCATTTTATATGTTATTATAATTTATAATATTCTGTAAGTTTTTTCTCTCTCTCTCTCTATCTCTTCGCTGGGAAAAAATGTATAGAATTTCCTTTCAAATTATAATGTGTTCAACGATTTAAAGAATCTTTTTCTTATATATAAGTTTTTTATACAGAATATTCTGTTTTGACGGTAGACTTAATTTAAAATATGTTGCACCGTATCATACGGTGTGTATGAGTGCCGTATAATATGGTATTTTTTTGTGTGCATGTATTTCGTTAGCCATATATAAATGTATTAAAATGTTTTACACAGAATTTTTTGCTTCATATATAAGAAAAATATTTTAATAAATTTCTTTATGCATTACATAAGAAATTTTGGGCATTAAAAATATATCATTAATCAAAAAACGCATATTTTTCCATGAATTCAATCATGAAATGCCCAAAAAATGGTTTGTTTACTCAGTTTTTGTATTTAAATAGATTTAAATATTTCTATATTTCGTGATAAATGAGTACAAATTGTTTGCTTTGATTTAATATTTCATAAAATTTTGGCAAATATTATAAATGAACAAAAAGAATGAATTATAAGAAACTGTTTAATGAAATTTTATTAATAATTTTTAATTTTAAACAAATATTTATCTTTTCAATGTGTTTGAAACAAAAAGTGATTTTAATCTTACAATCTCTCTATTGTTTGTAATTTTAATGTTTATATAAATATCAATTATATTTGTGCACATCATTATTGACTACGAATATATTAGCGTTTGTATCAGTATTTACGGTAAAGTGATTTAATTCTCGTTTCAAATAATCACAAAAAAGTGATTTATTGCCAGTCATTGCCAGTCAGTGATGTGTTAATCAGTTTGTTTAGCATAAAACCCGATAAAAACTACAAAATATTCAAAATTACAGTGAATTCAATTGCAATTTCGGAGCGAGAAATAAAATGTATTTCTATTTACGTATAAATGGATTCCTTATATAACTATACTGTACTGTATATACAGTAATATACAAGAGATGCAGAAATTGGAAACAAAACTATAAGTAGTTTTAAGCGAAAGAAAACGTAGAAATGTATTGAATTGAAGACTAATGAGAGGTTTATTGAATAGAATAGACGAAGGAATACATGAATCGGAATCTAATCTGAATGTCTGGAGTGTCTATTGATGTGTCAAAAGAATTTGTTATATAATTTAATCGCTCGCCTTTCCTAACGCACACAATATTCCTTACAATTGCATTCAAATGGCATTATAATACTCAACACATAACGATAGGAATATATATATTTTTTGGTCGCATTCTTCTCATTATATAAGCAAAATAAGGAGACGAAGAGAAAAGAAGACGTGGAGTAGAAAAGTATTAGCGAAAGACTATAAAAAAATAATTTTTCGCTCACATATCATAAAAGATATCATATATTATAAGTGCAGTAAAAATCTCTATTCTTCTCTCTTCTCTCCGCTCTAATAAATATTTCCTTTCGGATCAATATTTTGGAGTCGAGAGCAGCTGTTGTTCACAATTTTTGTTGTTTTGTTTTGTTGTGTGTATTTTTTTCGGATTCTCTCTATTCTTCGGCTAGACTTTTGCCTACAATGTCTGCATCTGTGATAAATCACTAAACATTTCAAACGCCTGCATCTCTCATATTATATGTGATATCACTTTTAGGCTCATTAAGTAATCTATAGCTCCTCTGCCAATAAGTTTCATTCTCTCTCTCTCTCTCTCTCTCTCTCTGCCAACGAATGAAGAGATGTTTTAAAATGTGTTTTTTAAAAGCCGAAAGTCATCCGTGAAGTGAAGTATTCTGTTATCTAAAACTGAAAATCAAATTAAAAACAAATTCTTTGTGCCATTCATTAGCTAATGACAAAATAACGATTCAAATAGTGATACATGTAATGTAATTATCGTTATATTATTTAATTACATTAATAATATCATTAAATAATTTAATTAAAATTAGCTCAAAATATAGTAAAATTAAAATTAAGTTTCTTATATTAATTGTGTATTTATGTCACAATATTGTGCTCTTAATTATAAACGTATCGTAATTTGCATTATGTTTGATAGTTATAAATTAAATTAAGGTTAATTTAAATATTAATACAGATTATCATGTTTGAATATTTAATTCTTACCAATTAATTTGTCAATCAATTATATGCTTTAACAAAATCTTTAGCTATAAAATTACTGCTAATTTTAGCTCAATTTCTATATACCTGTTCATCGATTTATACAAAAAACAATATAAAAGTAATAAATTTTGTTCACAATTGAAACAAGAAAAAAAGAAAACAAATAAAATTTGTTGAAATTCTTCCATTAGTTTTGTTTTATTATGTTTTAACGAAAATAACCTGAAAATTGAAATGCATTTTAAATTTCTACTGAAATTGTATTGTAATTGAGTTTATTCTCTCCGATTGAACACAAAAATTACTTAAATAATGAGAGAGAGAGAGAGAGAGAGAGAGAGAGATTAAACTTACTCATAATAAAAGCCGGATTCATTATCCAGTTTCTCATCTAGGGCACAATACAGTGTAGTTTGTGCTCCCATTTCAGGTGTCAGAAACATCATATTCATCATCGTTTGGCTGTAATTCTGATGCCTTTGGAGATCAGTTTTAATTACACCGGGATTGAGGGCATAGCACTTCACGTTACTCTCTGTGCCCAGCCTACGGGCCATTTCCCTGGTGCAAAGTACCATGGCCAATTTGCTCTGACAGTAGGCTTTCTCGGGATCGTAGGTCCCGTTCTTGAGGTTAATGTTATCAAAATGAATTTTGCCGATTTCGTGATAACCTGACGCCACGTTCACAATGCGTGCTACCGGCGCACTCTTTAGCAGTGGCAATAGAGTCAGTGTTAGCAGAAATGGACCTAGAGCAATTTTTAATCAACGTTTAATTTGTGTTTGTATGTAATAGTTATGTGTTTTTTATTTGTTCAACAAATATTTTGTAAATTATTATAGTGTTTAAAATATTTATACCTAAATGATTGGTTCCGAACTGCATCTCAAACCCGTCTATGGTCTCCCATTCCGGGCACTGATATATACCGGCGTTATTGATAAGTATGTCGACCGCAGACTCCCTGGCCTTCAGCTCATCGGCGAACTGACGAACGGATTTGAATGAAGACAAGTCGAGCTTAAGTGCAGTGATGTCTGCACTCGGATTCACTCCTTTCATGTCATCGATGGCCGACTCAGCCTTTTCTAGACTCCGACACCCGATGTATATCTGGTT